ACTTATGATGATCAGACCAAACCAACCTCAGAAAACTAAAAAACCCAAAAAAAGCCAAGAGCAAACTCATACATTGATCATCCACTTTTATAATCAAATCATCAATGGAACTTGAGAAGAAGAACCTCCAAATTTCTTCATTTTTGTAGTGATTCTCTCTCTGCAAAAATCAACACTCTTGAGCAGCTTGTCTCTCTACGTGTCCATCTTCTTTTAATCTAAGAGATTTCATCGTCACAACTGCATACATGTTCTGAGTATATAGATATATATAGAGAGAGAGAAACCGATGTATATTCAAATCCAAAATTTAAGATAGTCATTTCTCGTGCCAATCTGGTCTGCCTAATGTGAACTCCAAACTTGGATTGTTACAACTAACATCTCCACACCTCTTTGCTTGATCGTTTGACCTTTGATCCTGCGAGTTCACTTTAATTAGGTTTTTTTTTGTTTTTTTGATAATCACTTTAGCTAGATTTTAAAAGAAGAACAAACCAAATCTATTATATATAATGTTATACAAGAATTTTAAGAACCTGATCGTGAAGGATGGATCTTTGATGATGAGAGATCACTGATGTTGATGAAGTTCTCATCGTATCTATGTCGCTTGAGCAGTTATTACTTAATGGCCATGTCTCTCTGTTATATGATTAAGAAAAGAAATCCAATAACAAATTAAGATTAACACTTCTATATTCATAATAAACTATATTCAAAATAACAAGACATTGCATAAACATAATTCCAATGATGTGTTATTTACTCAGTTTTAATCCACATAATGCATATTGTTAAACAAAAACAAAGACAAAATTTTGCCCATCAATGATTCTTGGCTGAAATATAAAATTATGCTAACTAAACCAGTAACAATGGATAATGTATAGTTGTGTTTCTCTCAAAATACCAAAAAAAGGAAAATCACTTGACTCGATTTAAAAAAAAAATTGTCAGAATTAGTCTTTTCTTCAGTTATGTTGATATACTACAATGTTGTTAGTCACAAAATACAATCTTTCAATGTTACTATTTGATCCCACAATCTAGATGTAATACATATGCGCATATGGAATATAAGAGTTGTGTGCATACACACAACTCTTATATTCCATATTCAGTACATGGAATTTAAGGACCTAAATCTTAGCCCCCAAAAAATGACCTAAACCAAATAATAATTAGAAACACGGTACATATAATCAAATCATCAGCCGAAACCCTAAATCCTAAAACAATTACATGGCATTGTGACCAAAATCACTACTTTAATTAGTACGCTTAAACTGAACGTATGTATGGAAACGGAAAATATCATCACAAAATGAAAATAGATATATATGGGATAAACCAAAGAATAGTGTTATATGAACTTGGTAGGAAGTAGGAGAGAGTAGGTGAGAGAACCCTAAACCCTATCTCAAATTTCGTCAATCTCTCTAAAATTGGGGAAAAATAAATTCTTGTATATATTATACGTATTAGTTGTGTAGGTGATACATCATACATGCATGTATAATAATAAGATTGATATTACAAATACGTAAACGTACCGTGAAGAGTTACTCCAACGAGGTTGTGTAGAAGGAAAGTCAATTTCTTGATGAAGAGAAGTATCATCAGATTGTGCCCTTTGATCTGTCGATGATTGATGATGAACTTCATTTCCATTTATGCCCATTTCTTCTTCTCCTGACCCATCTGAAAATCAATTTTAACCTTTTATCAAGTTTCCTCTCAATTATTTTTACCCTTTAAGGGTTCGTGTTTCAAATTTAACAATTATTGTAAGCTTTTGGTAAAAAGACAATGCAGTGAAGAAATTGTTTTTCTTTTAATGTTTTTCAGCTTTTGACTTGACTACAATCTAATATATGCCCGCAAAATATCATTTTGAAAACTCGGAAATTGTGCCAAATAATAATAAACTAAAAAGAGAATTATGTTTTTTTTTTTGTGTGTGAAGGATAATCCATATGGATATAAACAAGTGATATTTCTTTCAGTTTATAAACATTGATTTGGAAATGATTTTACTATCTTAGAAATTCTTTAATTAAGTTTGATTTTCGTTTTTTAAGAGAATATCAATATTGGGGATGAATGTTTGGTTGATTTGCTTTGAACATTGACCACTTATTAATTTTAGGGTTTCAATATCAAAGAAGAGATAAAGCCTTGTGCTTGAACAATATCTTAGGGTATGTTTTTAATTATTTTTGTGTAAAGGGAACAGTAGAGATAGTGGAGCTAAATAGTAGAATTACATAGTAAAAAACAATAGAAATAGTTTTACGTTAAAATACTACTACATACACATATATAAAAATATTACGTTAAAATATACAAATATATCGAACCATGCAGAGATTCAAATTATAATTGAAAACAAATTGCTTACAAGCATTATGGTCAATAAACTTACCATAACAATTATACTGGATCTCAAATTCTATCAAAATTTTGTTGGCGAATCCTAAGCTTTAATATTGACTATAGACTCTTATTATCAACGAGTGCCATTTCTTTAGCATATATAAAGCTGAGAAAAAGCTATACTAAAGAAATGTGA